TCTGCAGAAAGAGGCCACTGCCATCGGAGAACACCGGTGCCACGAAGGGATGCACTTCGTCTGCAACAATGTTTAGGCAGGTGATACATGTCAAAGTAACATCCACACCAATGCCAGGACCCAAGGTTTCCCAGCAGAACGTTGCCCAGAGCGTCATGCTGCCTCCGTCCGCTTGCCTTCTTCCCATAGTGTCTCCTGGTGCCATCTCCTCCCCAGGTAAATGACACACACACCCGGCTGCCGACATGATGTAACAGAAAACTTGAGTTATCACACCAAGCCACTTTCTTCCATTGCTTCATGGTCCAGTTCTTACACTCACGTGCCCATTATAGGTGCTTTCCATGGGGGACAGGGGTCAGAATGGGCCCTCTGACCAGTCTGCAGCCATGCAGCTCCATATGCAACTATCTGCGATGCACTGTCTGTTCTGACACCTTTCTATAATAGCCAGCATTGACTTTTTCAGTAATTTGTGCTACAGTAGCTCTAAGTGGGATCAGACCAGACACGCTAGCCTTCGCTCCTCACGTACATCAGTGGGCCTTGTGCACCCATGACCCCATTGCTGGTTCACCGGTTGGTCTTCCTAGGACCACTTTTGATAGATACTAACCACTGAATACTGGAAACACCCCACAAGACCTGCCGTTTTGGCAGAACCATCACAATTTAGCCCTTGTCAAAGTTGTTCAGATCCTTACACTTGCCCATTTATTCTACTTCCAACACATTAATTTCAAGAACCGACTGCTGACTTGGCTAATGTATAACGACATCCTCGATAGAGAGATAATCAGTGTTATTCACTTCACCTGTCAGTGGTATTAATGTTATGACTGATCGGTGTATATAGGTCTGACGGTGTATATAGGTCTGACGGTGTATATAGGTCTGACAACTTGACCATTCAAACAAAACGAAAGAAAGTCAGTCAAGCACAAGACAGTTAAAACTCTTTCTTTCTTTCTTTCTGTAATCTATTGATCCATCCATCCCAAGCACTGCTGCTTACAATTACCTATTACTTTGAACTAATTTATAATTAATCTATTAAAATAGCAAAAATTCATAAAAGAGAGAGCACCCCGTCAAACAAACAAATACCAAAAACAACCTTGGTTTACCTTCCAGGCTGGACCCCCTCCAGGCAGGCCGAGGCTCCAAGTTGGTCACCTGACCACCTCCAGCTACCCCCCCTTCCTTCCTCACCCACTGTGACCCACCTCCCATGTTAACTGAACTAGATGTATCATTATGCTGACGGAAAAACATTCAGCGTTCTGAAATCCTCACTCAATGTACCAAAATGCAAGACGGCTGAATTAATTTCAACCCAATCTCTGCGCCAAGTCCATACAGGCCGCCAGATTAATCACAGGAACGTGAACAAAACACAGCAGATCTTCAGTCGTTTCTTGAAGCATTTGTGCACCTGTTCCGTCAATTAGAGTCACACTTTCCTTACATGTTCATCCATTTCTGCTGTTTCGGCTTAACAATTTTCAAATTTAAGAATAAACACAACGTGCTCATCAGTGATTATACTGTTTGATTATTTGCTTATTTATCCATCTTTATATCAGTGAATTCAGAAAATTATCGTTGCTTTGTTTTAATGGGCCTTATCCAGAATGTTCTTTTTTGTTACCAGGTAAAATTTTTCTTTTGTATTACCTTCTATTTCATCTTGCCAACATCTATGCTACAGCACAAATGCCTTGACAGACCCAATTAGCACTCTATCTACCAAATGGACCAGGAGAGTTTGGTATATATTCTTCCATAAAGAACCAGAAGCTTTTCCAGGATGACTGGGTCTGTGTTAGAAGTCCTCATGTGATCACTTTAAACCTAGTTATAGTGAAAATGTTAGCTGGGTAAACAGTTGTCATTTGGGTAGCACATACTTACGATTTCAAACTTCTGAGTGATATTTCCTTGAATGTCAAGCAGATAGACCTTTCCGAAATGTGTTCCCAAAGCCAGAAACTGCAAAATAAGAAACAGAGAAGACAATCAACAGCTGACAATTAGTTGAGTTAAATACAGAACCACAGAACTCCTTGCATGCATCTTCCATTTCCAGTCACAGGGAACACAGAGCCTGTCTACAGAACCACGGGCAGCACCAGGTAGAGGTCGCCCTTCCCTTTATGGGATGCCAGCACATCGCTGGGCTTACCCACAACTTAGAAGCATCAGCTCACATTATCAAATGGTTTTGGACTGCGGGAGGAAGCAGGGGGAAGATGAAAGTCTATCATAGGCAGCACAGAGCAGTGGGCGGCAGCACAACCTTGACGGGATGCCAGCTAGTTAATTAGCTATTTCAAAATATAATTAATCATACATAATAAACACAGCAATGGAACTTCAGGCTAAGCAAATTATATTTAATTTGTGACAAATTAACTTACAGAGGAGAGGTCTACATTTGATCTATAATAATGTGATAGAGAAAAACACTTGGCAACCCAAGGTCAAAAACAAACAGTAAAACTTGAAAGTAAAGCAGCTTGAAAGAAGAATTTATCAAATCTAACAGGAGCATAAAAGTCCAAAAATGCAAATCTAAACAAGTCCAACATGCAAAAAAAAACAGCTGTAAATACTATAATTGCCAATGGATTCAATACAATAAAGAGCTTTATTAGTAAATTACAAGTATGACATGGACTCAAATATAACATGAATTATAGGCAGATATATGTTCCTTTTGGCGATGATAGAATCTTTAAAATAATTTTTCCCTGCACTGAAATTGTCATAAGTGAGCTGCATTCATTAATAAAGACGCATTAAAATGGTAGCCAACTTACACCTAAGCATAACATAGCTTCTGGTGGCTGAGACCTTCAAGCAAAATCAAATAAATCTTCAAATCCCTAGATTAAATTAACCATTTATCAAAATTAAAGACCATTTATCCCACATTAGTAAGCATTTAAAGATCTATAGATCCGTTTGAGTGATATGAGATGGTTTTATATCTTGTGGGTGCGTACTAATTTAGTACCTAGCTTTGTACTAACCACCTTGTACTGGCCGGTGTTACCATCCAGACTGCCGGCCCTCGGACTTGGAGCAGGATTAAGGTGGCGATGAGGCTCAAACGTTTGCCTGGAGCTGACAGTGAAAGGTGTGCAGGCACGAGCCAGGCCACCAGCGCCCCGTACCGCTGGACCAGGGCAGGGAATTAAAGCCGCCTTCGGCTGCGCGGAGCCCGGGGCCCACAGAGCGCGGAGTGTGAAATTGCTGGGGGAAGCCCCATTTATTAAAAACACAGCAGTGTGAAATGGCGTTTTCAGCACATCGGCCTGCTTAAACATCATAAGTGCGGCATGGCCACACCCCCTCAGTGCCCCATTGGCCACACCCCCTCAGTGCCCCATTGGCCACATGCGATTCTTCTGGTCTCCACCTTACATTCATTCCTCCGCCTCTGTCTGTGGTCTCTTGGCGTGAGATGCAAGCCTGTTTTTCGCTGATCTTCCCTTGACTGGGGCAACAGACTGCAGAATATTCAGCTGGAGGGCCAGCGATGAATCCAGTACACCAAGGATAATTCAAATTTTAACCTTTATTTTACTAAACTGAATACTTAAGGTATCAAAATAAAAAATAGCATAACCCCCCATATAAAACTCAATTCTGAAATCATACCAGCGATACAATACAGGTACATTAATGCGTAATCTTTATAAATACAGCGCCTATTCCTATAATCACACAAAGTGATTTTCCTTTTCTGTAAAAGCGAAAAACTGCCTTATTTTATTACCTAAATCCATTACGCTTGAGTTTCATGTCAATTTTAAGACTGCTCAGTCCATGACCTGCTCACTTGACTCCATGGAAAACACAAAAGCTACGGGAACTACGTAGAATGGAAAATTTATCACCCCTCAGAATGCTTCTCCTCTATGACCTCTGGTCTCCAGACCCCAACATCAGCTTACAAGTTCAAAGCAAAGACTCCAGAGAACATTTACCTTCTAAAAGGCAGGAATAATTATACCATTAAGCTATTGTTTGTTATCTTGAAGTCATACAATAACTGATTGATTGAGTGTTGTATTAAATTTCCCTTAATTTATTTGTTGGATTCAGATGCTAGAAATGACTAAAATCAACCAAACAACTACCATATGTTGTTCCTTAGTTTAAAAAGCTCACAGGAATATTCAAAGGTACAAAAACAAAAACAAGTACCAAAAAATTTCAGTTTCATAGTGTAGATAGCAAAGATTTTTCTAAAAGCAAACAACCTCCAGCTTCACATATGTTTCTTTACATATAACAGGAATGCAATAAAAAATAATAATTATCACCACAATAATCGTTAAGTCTCTTTAAGAGCGAGTATTTGTGGCTTGTTAGTCCTATGGTCCTTTTAATAAAATTGAGCTATTATTTAAGATTATATTTAACAAGATGAAAACAAGAAAAAATATAATATTGAAAGAATGTTTATTGGGATCTACCAGCATGAAAACCTTCACAGAAAGAACAAGTACAGAAATCCAATTGTCAGTTTATCAACCTAGTATGAGATCCTCCTCAAAACCCGTCCAAACTGGCCAAAGCACATTTCCATTCCTAAAGATATGTGCTCAGAGGAGAGGTAAGGCGCATGCACTGATTACAGTGCGGTGCCACATCCGTCACACAACAAACCACCTCAGGGATGAGAACCTGAGGGCAGACACGCGGCAGGTGATACCTCAGCACCACACTAGTCCGAATGGACCAATGTGAGGTTTTTTCCCCAGTGGCTGGAGTGCCAATCCTGCCACCAACCCCCAAGTTTTTCCCCTGTAAATTGGAGGACGTCCTTACAGGGCTGGATGTAGATTAAAATCATACCCAGGATGAAGCAATTGCAGGTTAAGGGCCTTGCTCAAGGGCCCAAAGAAGTAGAATCACTCCTGGCATTTGTGGGATTTGAACCAGCAACCTTCCAGTTGCTTACACAGAGCTTTAGCCTCAGAGCCACCACTCCGCCCTCAGTCACTACATTATTTAGTACGCTTAGCTAGTTCCAGACAGCCTTATTAGGTACGCCAAGCTAGTACCGGTTAGGACCTACTTTTGCCTTCAGAACCACTTAAACGCCTGATCTGTGTGTTCAGAGAAGCCTTTCTGCACACTGCTGTTGTACTGAGCCGATATATTTGTACTTCCTGACCTTGCTGTTCGCTCTAAAGTGTGGTTATTCCCTGCCGGCCTCTCTCACGAACAAGGCATTTGTTGACTACAAAAATGCCACCGACTAGTTAATTTTTGTTCACGATACCATCACGTGTAACTCTAGACACTGAGGTGCGTGAAAAGGGAGGTGGCCATTTCTGAGATGCTGAAAGCACCATGTCTATTACCAACAATCACACCACGACCAAAATCAATTAGATCCCATTGCTTAGCCTCTCTTATGGTCAGTCACACAGAAAAACACCTCGACCCTGTTTGAGTGCTGCCACATGATTCACCGTTTGAAGCATAATAACAAGCAGGTGTAAAGCGGCCAGACAAGCAAGCATAAATCATAACAGGTTTTCAGCATGTCTAAGGAATACATTTAGCTTCTAAGGACTGATATGAAAAGCATGCTCTGCATTGACTTGCAATTTAATTGAAAGACTTATAAACAGACCTAATAGTCAATCATGACAAGCGTAGACTGTATGCACGTTTCTAGTTAGTTATGTACTGATGTGATCATCGCACTGATACATGTAAAATACAGATCAGTTTCAAGGAAAAACAGTATTTGGAGTGAAGAAACAGCAATCCTGCCTTAGTTAAATAGCTTCTGGGTTAAATACTATTTTAGCCATAAAAAACAGCAAATTGACAAATAATATATTAGACAAATTATACAAACAGATTATCTGAGAAAGGAAAGTCAAGTCAGGATTTAGGAAGAATTCTTCCATAAAAGTGGCACCTCAATGTACCAAACTACTGAAAGTTATACAAGCTAACCCTGGTGAGCTGGGGACAGGCGGGCACACAGTGATGGGACATGACCCCCCGCTCTGCTGCCTGCTATTGGTCGATTCCAGACGTAGAAGCTAATCGCTTCCTGAAGGCCACCACTGCCAGGGGTGCAGTTGACTAAATGCAAACCAGTAAGGAAGGGAATTTAAACCGGGTTTTTTTTTTTTTTTGGGGGGGGGGGGGGGGAGATTTTATGTATTGCACCCATGCCCCCCGCCCCTCGCCAACCCACCGACTCATTTCCCGCTTTCTCTCTGTCTCCCCATACCACGCCTCACTGCAGTTTATAATGAAATGCTCATTTTTACGGGCACAACCGAGCATGTCAAGCACAGCCACCGACAATCTCCCAAATAAAATAAAAAAGACAAAATAAATAAATAAGGAGCGCAGCCTTGCGCATAAGAGGGGGTCTTAAAAGGATTTATCGGAATGGAATTTCTCAAATGAAATTCCGATTGAGGCACTTAAAATATGAAGCAACTTCAGAGGCTAAACGGAGCGTTAGCAGGTCGGGGTGCATGGTCAGAAACTGGCACCCCCACTAAGGCTCAGACAGATAAACAAAAGG